CAACCTTGGAAAACTGAATTATATAGCAGGTTAAACGAGTGTTTTAATGGTCACAACTTTTTTTATTACGTATGGTTCCTTGTTAAGAATTCTATTTAAATGAGTAACCGTTCTAATCAAACCTTGCGACCTATTAACCCTATTCGTGGTATCAAATATAAAATATCCGTCATAAGTAAATCGAGTGCATTATTACGATCACGTAGCACCGTTCTATCTCAATTTTTCATTTCTTGATTTCATAGAGCTCCATTATCAACACTACAACACCAAATGTGCTGTTCTGGCAGACGCCTCTTGAATTTTAATGTAAAAATTTATTTTGCGAAAAAAATAATTTCAATTAATTCGTTTTGAATTTTGATCGTGAAGAGTATTGAAAAAAGTTGGAATTTTCCGATGATCCAAGATGCACATTAATTCCCATCAGAATCGCTTTGTTCGAAGATGAATCATTTTTCATTGTACGCATACTGAAGCATGGGCGACGCCTGGACTTCTTCCTTATTATGTCTTTGTCCTTGTGGCCTTTTTTTGACCGCACTTCCAATGAATATCAATAAAAGTTTAATAAATCTGGTTTTGTCAATCGCGCGTTATTTAATTTTCGATGTCTTCATTGTCTTAATGAAGGAAGGAGCATTTAGGTCGGCTTTGTAACTCCGGAAGTGCGTGTTTAAAGTGAAATTGTGAGCAACTCTTTTATCCAAATATTTAATAGTCAAGCGAGAAAATCACCAAAGGCGCTAACGCAATGTTTGTGTTTTTCTTAATTATCGAGCTCGTGTAAATTTGCTTTAAACGTAAATAAGTATATACTTGTAATTACAAGTCGAGTAAATTTGTGGTTTTGCTTAGTATCTAACGGTTTTTGTGGATCGCAACTGTTGCAATGTCGGATAAGTTACATGAATAATAGTAAATTTCACGGATGAAAGCTCTCAACGAGAAACATGATCGGCTTTATCCAGTGCTCAACTAATTTAGGACACGGTGTACTAGTTTTGCCGATACTGAAAAACTCATCTCAATCAGAGTGTATCGTACTTTAATTATTGGAAAAATTATTGCAGTGGCGAATCTAAAAGTGGGTCTTAGATGGAGTCGACTGGCAAACAAAAATCCAGTTATAACGCAAAAAAACAGTTAAGTCGGTATTTGACAAACGGTGATAAAAAATTTACCAAGTTAACCGACTTCTGGTAAATAACAAGATGTCAATTGAACAATACATCATTTCTCATGAACCATGAACTTAGGAAGACAGAACAACTCTTTTTTTTATGAAAAAGAATGCTCGACTTAATATTTTTTTAAATTTTATATTCCTAATAAATACGTATACACACTGACAAAGTTAAAAGAAAAGTAAGTCGATTTTGTTCTTGTGATTTTTTTTTCTCAGCAGTGGCAAGAGAATCTGTAGCAGTGAAGTTTTAAACTTAACTTAAGTACACTGCATTTTGCAAGCCATTGATTGGTTTGAAGACTGTTATATAAAAATTAAACAACGAAAATAATGCGCTTAATAAAAATTAAACAACGAAAATAATGCGCTTTTTAGGGTCTAGGACTCGTTTTAAACATTTTAAACAAAATAATAATAAACTTAGTTTGTGTTGATAATACATTTACGTTTCCTTTCCCTACAGCTCATGACTAGTAATAGTAGTAATAATAATTCCAATAAGAAAAATCAAGTGAAAGAAGAAATGGGATGTTTTACCCGTTTTATTAATTTAGTCGTAATTTTGTTTGCAGCATCTTCGTTAACTTCCAATTTCAAAACTTATTATTTATTGTATTATTATTTTAAAAACAGTAACAGTACCTAATAGGACTTGGTAGGTCAGAATACTCAAAATATTGGGTGTTGAATTTATATCCGTTTACATACCTACTCATGTTTGAATTTTGAATCAAGATACAAATCTTTGTATTATCATACCTAATCATAACCGGTATCTAAGATTGATTTCAAAACTAAACATTGAACGTCGGATTAAGTCGTGAGCAAGTCAGATAAGGGAGATTGTTGCTATTTTTATTCTCTAGTTTGGAGTTAACTGCCACGTGTTTGACTTGAGGCGTTGTTGGTTTTCTCGTGCACATTTTTAAAACAATGAAGTTAAAAAAAATAGGTATTAGGGGTGAATGGGAAGGTTGTTCATTTCCTTTAGTTAAAACGTTAAATTTGTTTAGAATACAATGACCAATAAATAAATATACAACGAATTAAGTGTGTTTTTGAAACCTATTTCTGGATATAATTTTCTTCGGATGCAAAAATTTATCGCAATTTTATCTTTGGGATTTCTTCTTATTTGAGTAAGTCGCATGACAGCATTAAACAATATGTCCAATTGTGTCTTTTTAGAAATAAAGATAAGCAATATCTCGTGACCTTAGCAAAATACAATTGTAGAAAAGCATGTTTTGGCATCTGAAAATAACTTCGGCCTTAGTAAAAGGACAAAAAAACAGGAAATTTTTATTTCCGATTGAGAAATAAAAATCAAACTAGTTTCGGTACAAAATCACATTTTTCTACAATCATGAAAAAATTTGACCTTTTTGCATTGAAATTAATATGTGAAATTGGTCATTTGTTGTTAAATGCAAAGGACAATATTTCTTTTAAAATAGAAAATTAAGAATGCCGAAAATAGATCAAAATTTTGCCTAGAATCGAAATAATAGAAAACATTAAAATTGCTTCAAAAGACCCAGAAAAGTGTTAAAACGTTGTAGATATGCGAGAAATAAATTTTTGGAAAATTGAATTTTTGAATAAGTATTCATGGTGCGCCAGAACTGGCACCCCAGAGAAAAATTTCAAGTAAGATAAGATACCAGGAACATGGAAAAAATGTTTAAAAAATTGTATCTGTCAAAAAAAATTGACATTTGACATTTTTTATGTCTATTTACTAATCATCTTGTATGGTAGAATTCTTTTAATTTTACCCGAATATCATAAAACTTAATTGTCTCTCTCGCTCTTCAAGTAAGTAGGTAGGAGCAAGTAAGATAAACGTTATGCCGTTCCCTGGTCCCACCAGTGGTATGTTGTCTTTCTCGCCCTTAGGTAGTTTAAAAGAGACAGCAAACTTTAGCACGTCTATCTACTTCACTCAACCAAAATACAGGGTGTTACACGTAATTTTACGAGGCCTGCGCCTGTAAGAAGCAATCAATAATACATATTCCGATACGAACTCTTCTCTAGTTTGTTCACCTTTTCAAAAATTACAACGTTTTTAGTTAGTTAGTGATTAAGATAGATAAACTACAATCATATTCATATCGTCTCTTAATAGAACAAATGATAATTGTTTCTAAAAAACTGCAGTTTATGACTAATAATGAAACAGTGATTAGTTTGACAACTACTGTCATGGGTTTTCAAAAATTAAATAATTAAATGTGTATTTTTTGTATCCAGTGTTCTGTGACTTTTGTATATTTGGGTGCGTACATTAGGCGCAAGCCTCGTAAAGTTATTTGAAACACCCTGTATAACAGTGATTCTCAATAGGTTAAAAAATGCAGCAAGAGAAATTGACAATTAATGAAACATACAAGACTTATTAATTTATTAAAAAAGTAATAATAATAATAACAAATTTTAGCTTAGTGGCGTCTCACATAGTTTGAGAACGACTCTTATTTTTAGCTACGCTTGACCGTTTGTATTTTGTCTCACTCATTCGCATAGTAACAACAAAGACAAAACTATTAGCGCATGTGATTGTGTTATTTGACACAGTTTTACGATAAACGGGAAAAGAATATTACTATACATTTGACATTTTTTTATATCTATTTAATTATACTGATGATCTTGTATATGTTTTTTTTTACAATTATTTAGTAAACGTAGAAAAATTTGGCTAATAAAAGCCACAAATAACATTGAATAGAGTTACAATTTAGGATACAGCTTCTTTGTTTCCTCTTCTAATAGTTCGAATCCCGGTAAAGTCAACAATTTTTCTCTAATTGAAATTCAAATACAATTCAAATAAATGTCAACAGATGGCGGGCGCATAACAGCGCGAAATTTAAACATGTGCCCATGTTCTAATAAGTAAAAAATATGAAAAGAAAGAGAGAGCGCATTAACGCATAAGAGCAAATAAGAGAGCAAAGCATAAGAGAGAAAAAGTATAAGAGCATTAAAAAGCAAAAGAGCTTTTTTATCATCAGGTACCCACCATGTTTTGATTTTTCAAAGAAAAATTCAAGTACATACTAACAATTCAAGTAAGTGTGAAAAGATGTTCGCCTAAGTGTTTTAAAACATCTGCATGTTCTAATAATTTTAACTGAATTTTGGTTTTTTACCTTCACTCAATCTCCACCTTTTGCTTTTAGTGCTTCCAAATTGAGCGAACTTGACAAAAAGCAAATAGACATGTTTGTTTTAACGTTGCAATTAATGATCGAAAAGGTCGCTTTTCACTGAAATTAACTATTTATTTACCTTTTTCTTACACAATGCATTGTTTCAAGTGGAAATTGGGACAGTAGCATCATGAAGGTTAAATTTTCCAATTTTCGTTTCAATCCTATTGCAAGATTAGTGCCAATCAAAGTCCACGACAACATATTATTATCGTTTTTTATGTAATGTGCATAAGGTGTTAATTATATTCTATTCCTTATTATGATGTTCGTGAAAATTGAAACGTCGCCCATTTCACAAATGAACAAATTTTATTTTCAGCTGATCCCACGGTTCGTTAAATATTTTACGTAAACACTGATTAATTTAACCTGATCGTCCTAATAAACAGACTAAATGTTGCCCAGGTGCAAATTTGTCCCATTCTGAATCGATAATTTCTTTGTTGAAAATTAAGAAAGCTTTATTAAAATCGCATTAGATGACATTTGCGCCTCGTCAACTATCGATTTTCCCATTCTCATTATACAATGCACACCTTTTTAATTAATTGACCCATCACGCAATGAAGAAATTCTAATTTTTGTTTCAGGTAATATAAGCGCCGTGTTTACCTACAAATGGAAGGGAGAAGACTTGGCCAGATTGGCCGAAAATAATTCCAAAGTTTACGTTCACATCACTATTGCGAGCCATACCTCCTCGAGGACGGCCAACATCAATAGGTAAAATATTTTTTGATTTTTGTGCAGGACCAAGATGCCAAAAATGCGCCTTCAAGGTCCCTTTCCACGTAAATTGCTGTCATTATTAATGAAGTTGTCTCAGGAATCGCGCACGCAAGTCAAATTATTATCAATTTTCGGTTGATTTTTCCATTATTGGGTTACCAAACCCTGAAATGTGTAAATATGGCAGCAAAACGAAACTGCGCTTTTGAAATTACATTTTAGCACTTTGCGTGAATTATTCTCTCATAAATCATTCGGAAAGGCGCCCTAGACTGTTTTAATTAAAACGCTAATTTTTGCCGCTCTTTTCTGGGATTATTAAGAATTGGGCACCTGAACGCGAATTAAAAAACAATCCAATGGAATTGTGGCTACAAAAAATTAATTTTATAGATATTGATTGAAAATGTGACACGAATTATTAGAATTTATAGCTGAAATTCACGTCGTAAGGATGTTTGATGATGAGTCTAAAGACAGCGCTCCACATGAGACATCATTTGGGCCGTAAATTGGAATTGTATCATATCTATCTCCTGCACTAAATTGTAGAGAGATAAACAACAGAAACTGAATTTAGAGTGAAGGCGTTATAAAATTTTTAGCCTTGTACGTTTTCTATAACTGAAATAAACCATAATCTGTTTACCGATATTTTATTATTATTGCTGTAATCAAAAATGAACTTAATTCTACAAAATCAATAATAATTTTTGTTTCTTATTTTTGTACGCTTTAATGCGTATGAAAGATAATTTTTGGCTCACTTATTTTAAATGTGGTTGTATTTTTTTTTGAAATATTTAATGAAGGAAATGAGTTGATAATAAATTTGTCATAATATTATTTCTTGTGGGATGTATGTACATACATTGTCAATAGATAATAATTTCAACCAAACAAGGATAATCTTATCTCAATTAAATCCCAGCAATTAGCCCAGATATTACATAATTATAATCCACGTAATTGTAATAAAACGATAAGGAATTCTAATCAATTTATAATTAACTAGTTTACGTCAATTTTTTGGTTGGTATCATTTTGAATGATTTGAAAATCGCCATCGATTAGCAGCCCTTCGATCGCCCAATGTTCGCCTTGAACTCTGTAAACTTTCAAGCTGGGTTTATTTTCACGTTTCTGGTAAAAATCATGCAATAAAAGCGAAAGGGGAGCAGCAGCAACCCGACACCGAGTGCATTCGTAATGTGGAAAAATTCGTATTACCTCTCGAGACAGTTTATTTTTCACCTTGACTGTGTCTTAATCTCACTTTGCCTTCGAGGAGGTGTGGACCGTCGTGTGTTATTGAGAAGATATTGAAGGCAAACGCTTCAAATGAACCGTGAAAACATTAATGAAGGCATAATTGTGTTCCGAGTTTTTCCGCACCTCCTCTTTTAATTGGTCGGTTTTGCTGATAATTGTCTCATTCGTTACTCATTTCTTCCGTTTGAACGCAAATTGAATTTTGATTAATGCCATTTGATCATGCGATCTGATAACCATTTAACTTCCTTTGAATATTGAGAGGGAAGCTTGCCACGAAGGCGATTGCTGGAAAATCTCTCAAAGTGGAATGATTCCCTGGCATAAAACCTGTAATAACCCGAGAGCTTTGATTTTTGATTTGGGCATAATTTTATACATAAGCTTTTGCTTAAAAACGAATGAAATTTAGTTGTGTGGGGGAATATAAAGAGGCATTTAAAGTCGGTTTTTCGTACGATGACAGGGATAACGTTGTCGTAGATTTCCTTTGGTGAAATCATTGTTGTAAAGCAAATGACACGGTTTTGGACAAAATGAATTCATTGTCCAATAAATTACATATTCACTGAAAGGTTTTCAAAGCAAAGTTTTAGAGAAAATTAGTTTAAATGATGCCAGATGATGTGCGACCCCAATATTTCGACGTAAACAAGGAACTTCCACTAAATTATAATTTGAATGTATAATAACATCGCCGACTTGCTGTGTTTATACCTCGGGTTATTTTTAATAACCGGGAAGATGAATAGCATTGCAGCAACATTAAAGAACGTGAATTTTTGGCTCCGCATCCTAAATGTCACATTCTTCCGCATAGGTTAGTATCGATTGTTCTGGCTAGCGCGTTTCTGGGTTAAGGCTGTATAAAAATTGTCTCTTTTCGTAATGATAACAGAAAGTTTATTCTTGTGAAGAGTTTTAGAAGTTGAATTACGTAAATCATTTCACTTCCGTTTCCATCTGACGGAAGTTAAAAACCTTCGAAGTGTGGCAGACTTTCTATGAGAGGAGGTCGAATGTGGCAAACGATTTATATAAAACTTATTAGATAACAAGGCCAAGAACGGTAAAAATTTCGCGGACGGATGCTAATTTGGTTCCGGGGACCAAAACTAAGCATATATTAGTTCAGATAACAGTGAATTTATTGATCTAAACCCGGAAATACCGGAACAAGGGATTCAAATAAAGGCGTTTCTGTTGAAATTTGGCCAATTATTAGTAAAAGTAAACTGAAATTACATGAAAAGTTCAAGTGGAAGCGGCCCCTTTCAGCAAGCAATTAAAATATCGTCGGTTTGTTTGCGTTGAATCCACTTAAAGAAATGGAAGAGATCAATTTCGTCAGGAACTCGAGTGCAGTTTTAAGTCGAAATGAAAAGTTAATAGTCTAATTAGACACATTTATTGTGAGTATTAGAGCCTGATTTCATTAAATAATTAAACGCGAAGGACAATCATAAAATTTTATTACATGAAAATAATGTGCTAATTGTTTGTTAATTTTTATTTATTTGTTTCAGAACATCTGTTTTATTCGTCTCCATCACGTTTATTGTTTTAATGATCATATCCTTGGCGTGGTTGGTGTTCTACTACGTTCAGAGATTTAGATATATCCACGCAAAAGACAGGCTGTCGGTAAGTGAATCCTTATCACACGTTATGTTGATAAATTTGGCATAATGTAAAAACATAATACTTTACTAGACTATTACTGCCGCGAAAAATAATGCTATTTTAAACGCAATTGCACATTTATTTTTTATCAAAAAGATAAAAAAAACATTTTGCATTACCCTGGAAATAGAATAAAACTATTATTTTTTGTTTTGTTGATAATAATTGTTTGGTTACAAGGACATGAAAATCTGGAACGGTCAACCCAGGGGACAGGAGTCGTTGTTCCATATTAGAATAAATATTAGGTTTAAACATCGTTTAATATGAAAACCGTTGTTGAAATCCCCAAGGTTGTTAGTAGTAATTCTGGGGAGAATATGTGATCCAGAGATTAATTTTTTATTAGTTTTCTAGCTAAGATCGCGCAAATTTACGAAAGATTTTTTTACAGAGAAGACTGGGAAATGCAGCAAAAAAAGCGTTATCCAAAATTCCAACGAAAAGCATCAAATCCGAGGACAAAGTGAGTTATTATTCTCTTTTGTAATCCAATTCAAACGTATGATATCTGATTCTAGGAGGTTCAAGGCGACGGGGAATGTTGCGCTATTTGCATTGAACCTTACAAAATATGTGATATTTTACGCATACTACCTTGCGGGTAAGTGATTTAATTTCCCGAATAAATGAAACTCAATAGAATTGTTTCCAGTCATGAGTTTCATAAGAGCTGCATTGATCCTTGGTTGTTGGAACATCGAACATGTCCAATGTGTAAAATGGACATCCTTAAACATTATGGATTTGTGGTCAGTGTTTCCATATATCCAAACAGCTATACCTACTAGTGATAGTAGATATAGTTATTTCTGTGATAGCACATACTGCCTTTCTCCTTGTAGCTACTTTGTTTACAAATATGCACTTTCCATGGTGGAGGTAATTCATAGATTATTTTATTCAGTTTTAGCTTTGTTTGGTTTAACGCTTCATTCTCATTAATAAGTGCATGTCGATGAGAAATGTTTTATCACAGATCGCTCGCTCTAACACTTTTATTACACACTAGTAAGAATCAGGGGCTGCTGAAATTTCCTTTATCTTATCTCGCTGCCGCCTTCACTAATTGACGTTTCAACAGTTTTCCGGTAGTCAAGAAAGCATCCTACAGATGGACGTAGAAGAAATCGTAGTGTTAGACTCGACCGAGAGTCGTTCAACTAGTCCAAGAAGAGGCGGCGGTATTAGTCCCTTGCCGGAGATACGGGCCGTTGTCATCGCTGACCGTCAGGTACAAGACAAACATTCTATTATTAGCCATGGAAGTGACAATAAAGACGCAAGGTTGCCGAGACCTTGGACACAAACCGAATAAAGCTTTCCAATTTAAATAGAATTACCGATTTTGAGACACCGTAAAAAGTGAGGAGACTAGGAAGACATTCATTTCAATTGGAAAGAATCCGGTTTCTAACGTCACAAAGTTTTTATATTTCCACATCTTTAAATCTCTCAGACTTTTAGACACTAATTAATCATCTAAAGACGTCACGATCACAGTTTTGTTGATAAGTTTCCTTTTTCTATCAAAAAACTAAAAAATATCAAAAACTAATTATCGATTTATTTATTTTTGTCATATTTGGAAAAACACCTAATAAAGAAGTTTCTGATTAAATTATTTTAAATAAGTGACTTTGAATAGTAAATTCAATTAATACAAACATTCCATTGATTTATTAAATATCGAATAACGAGTTTAATCATATTGCGATATGGTATTTCCAATAAATCAAACATAAACTAACATTTACAATTTTTTCGTTTTATAATTCAATTTTAGTCCCAATAATTCATATTTCAGAAACGCCTTTTTGCGGCGAAAATTCGAATTATTTTTATATACTGCCTATTATTGTTTGTTAGAGTTTAATAATTACAGGTAGCTGACGCATTCATTAAAAACTGGTTTCATGTTTTCATGTGAATTTAATCCAGTAATGACAATAACTGTAAGCTTTGTTAAAACATATTTTTACGGTTTTCAAAAACACAAAAAAGTCATGAATTGATGAAAATCATTTCGGTTGCATGTAAAATTCGTCACCAACTACTTAAAGCTACATGAGCTTCCCCCTCGTACTAAACTTGATTGTCGAGTTTAGTCCAAGGGAGGCACTTATTGAATCCTTGGACAAGATTCGCTCCTTTGTGGTTTAACTATCGACAAGTCCGTGGCGAATCCAATCTATCCACCATTCCGCTCGTTTGTGGTCAACTAATCCACTTGGTGACTTAATCTCACCTAATTTAATTGAATTTGTGAAACGGGGACTTTTTGGTAAATTAATTCAAAACCCTTCATGTGTAGATTTGCTATACATGACTTAATTAAAAATAATCAGCTACGAAACACACCTTGTACTCCTATTAATCATCATTATGTAAGGCTTGTGAAAATGTTTACTTGCAATACAGTTTTTTAAAGAATAATAAAATGAATAATGCAAATATTGTGAAAAGATTTTGTGACACTAATTAAACCTGAAGACCTTTTTAATGAAAAATCAATAACTTTCGAAACGATTTGCATATTAAATTCATGACTCAGATTGTAATTGTTGCCTTATCAGTCTTTCTAATCGCATAGTTTTTATTATATTTGAAATGTTTGCATTAAACCATAAAAAATAATTCTGTTTTATTCCATTTTTTGATATTACTAGGACAATTCGATGTGATAATGATGCCAACACAAAATGTTCCATTAGAGAGTAAATTGCTAATAAAAATCTCGGTTGGAAGACTGATTAACCGTCTGCATTGTAGTTTTCCACGCTTGAGTGATTTTCATTAAATTTGCCGTTGCAGCGCCTGTTCGAGAGTTCAGCCGATGACGAAAGCAGCAGATCTTCCACTCCCGATGAAATGACTCCGAGTTTGTCTCAAGGAAGACAGTACCCCGTCAGACAGGATCTTTGTGTGAGTTGTATAGCGGCAAAAGCAGCCGCAGCCTTATCAAGCAACCAAAGCAAAGAAACGTCGACTTCTGACGAAGAACAAGACTCCAACCAGCCGGTGCTTTCAGTGAACAATCATAGTGATGATAAATAAAACAGTTTTCTATTACGTGGTGCAGCAGTAGTCGATTAGGACTGCCGAAACTTTGTGATATTATATTTCTAGTGGTTAAGTTTTTATTTTGTCCAATACGAATAAAGGGTGCTTTCGTCCCAAATACTAACAATAATGTATCGTTCGCTAAATTCCCGACGATAGAATTGTCATATTCTAGTGTAAATAGATCTCTCGCGACGAGTTGATTCCAATTTTCCAAGAGATTACATCCAACTTGGGCTTGGGCAACTCCATCTGAGAACTCCTACTTTATTATCAAGTGAATAAATGACGCGTTTCTGAAGGATAACAAGCTGTTACTTTAATCGAAAATAAATTAGGAGTTTTATGATTTTACTGCGCCCAAGCGTGACTTATATATGAAGCAACGTGCTTAATATACTACTGCTTAAGTAGTAGCTTCCAATTCAGATTATTTGTTTGTGGAAAACGAATTTTCTTCTAGAAGCGTTATAATTACAATACAAATCTTAAAATGTTGTGCCTTGTAAATATCTAACATTTGTGATGTACTTGACTCCCCATACGATGTGAGCGGTTATTGTTTTACTTATCTGTGATTGTTAACGTTTGTTGGGGTGTCGTGTATACTTTTTCTGACTTAATTTCAGTTGTACAAACAGCATGTACTTCATCTTATAATTTTGCTTGTAAATATTATGCTAAAATTGAAATTGACTGAATTAAACTCTATATATGAATCAATGTGTTTTATTGTTTTGATTACACTGTTATGTCACTCGTTAAGATTGTTAAATATAAAAAATAAACATCAAGAAACGACTAGAAGAAATCACTTAATTGAGATAATATAAAAATATCAATTGCATCACAATGAAAATAGTTAGCAAACACAAACGAAATTCCACTGGCAGTAATAAAATAAATCAGACTTGTTTTAAAAATAACTTGAAACACCAATTACTTCGTGAATATTGAAACTAGAAGTTATGTAAAATTTTCGATGATTTTTGGTCTCTCGAACTACAATGTTTGTAATTGGATGTTTCCCAATTATGATTTTTTTTGCATACTCTTTGATAGTGAAATGTTTCCATGAAGGAACGTGATAGAAATAAACCTATAAAAAACCCAATTAGAGTCGAAACAACGCGAAAACTTCACTTACAATCCCTGTATCCACCCCCAACACTAGTGTATTTCCATACAAACATATACAAGTGATTGTTGCCTCTAAAACTTCAGTCGTGTTGAACAATTTTTTAACATATTTGGATCCCCCTTCTAACATAATTACTTCCATGTATTCCTTATCTACTAAATTTTCAGCCCTATCTGCATGAAATCATTTACACAAGAGTCCAACAAATAAGAATAACTTACACAAAACAATTATTATATCATCTCTCAATATATGATGGGTTTGATGTGAAGTCAGTGAATTTGGTATACTACTAAAGTTTAACAGACACTTCTCATGGTATTCGGACGCTGGTAGTATGTTTTTTGAATCATAATTTACTTTCCTAACGTCATTACTTATTAATATTGTACAAACACCGTTCCACATGTTTATACAAGTGATGTTTTTGGGTGAGTACACTCGTGTAAACCAGGTTTCTTCCAACACTCGTCCATTTGAGTTTGTTAGTTTCTCTATTGTAAGTCGACCTCCGTGTTTTTGGTAACAAATATAGTTTTTGTAAATACTGTAATAAATAATTTTGTTTAAGGCCTGGTAGTTAGTCAACTCAAAATACACATGAGTCTGGCAAGATTAAGTTATTTAAAAATGAAATAAATAGATATACAATACCTATGCGACATCACGTCTTCTAAAATTAAATGATTATAACCATCTCCAAACAAATCGTCTATTATAATAGCCTTGGAGAAAGCTGTGACAATTTTTAAAATAGAATCTAGAAAATACTGACTTGTTTTTTTTTTCTTCCTTAGTTTTGGCATTACCTACCACTATAAAAAAATGTTACTTTGGACACTTTTTCAGCCTGATGGCGCGTTATGACTAGAGGCTTCCAATACTGGTCATAAATCCTAACTCTACCATCTTCAGAACCCACAGCAATATACTCCTCTGAAACAAGTTATTTTACAGAAAATTCGGTTTTTGCACATTTTTAATACCAAAAACATCAATACAAGTTATTCTTGGTATGTCAGCGGGACTTAATACTGTCTCAAATCTAATATCGCGAATATTCTGCCAAGTCATCCAATTATTATAAACGTAAAACCAAACATTTGGATCTTCTTTGTTGTAATGGATGAGGTATTGTGTTAACTCTTTTTTGGGGATTTCCTCGTGACAACACCATCTCCACAATGGAGTTTTCTATTCCAAACAAAGAAATTTTTAATTATTAGCAAAATTATAAAAGGGGTACTCACTTTTGATAGATAATCCACTAAATCACCCCATTGTTTACAAACATTTCGAGCGGTGAGTAATGTCTTGCCGTCACAGTTTATTAAAATTTTTTCGAGAATTTCAGGTGGTAGAGCCATTTGTTGTCATTAATAAAATAAAGTCCGCCACTTGCGAAGTTTAAAAATAACCTCTTATTTTTTTGACATTGCTTTTTGTTTTGGTTTTTATTGAACTGCCGATAATGCAGAGCGCTACCACAACGAAAAAATCAGATCTACGAAATTTTCTCAACAATAAACATTTACCACGTAATTGTTTTACAAAAGAAAATGACTTAAATTTATTTAAAAACTTGCTATTCTAAGGAAATGTTTGCGATTAATTTACAGAGGCCTGTAACCCTGTAATGACAGTTGACAAGTTATAGTGCGCATGTCAAATTGCGATTTAATTTAAATTGTTCCGCGCATGAGCCGTAGTTATTTAGATCCACAGGTTGTTTTTCCTTCTTCGCTATTCAATCCGGTGTCTTTATGAGTGTGGGATGTGCTTATCCTCGTCTTTACGGTAAAATTTTCTCCGTTATAATGTTGTGTTTTGTTGTTAGTGTTGAATAATCGCGTGTTAAAGTGTGCGAATAACAAAAAGACACCATGGGGGTCGGTTTACCTCCTTTGGAATTCACCGAATGCATGACAGACAGTCCTTATTTTCGAGAAAATCTACACAAACACGAACGCGAATTAGAAAAAACTAGTCAACAAATCAAGAGGATCATCAAAGAAGTCAAGGATGTTCTAAACTCGGCTAAACGTAAGTCGGAGGGTACAAAAACACTTTTTACTGTGATTACATCATGCGAAATTAATTTATTAGAATCGATACAATGACAGATTTCCTCCCCTGAGTTCCGCTCTGTTACCTCCCTCGGGTAATTGCCGGTTAATATTTTAAGGGTAGTTACAACCCCATTACCGATTACCTTATCAATCACCGCTTTGTGTCAAGTGGCTTTTGGGCTCACCGCCCACAGGATCCACGCTTTTGATAAACGCCTCGCATGTATCAAAGTCGTCTCAAAAGCCCACATATAATTTGTCTCTTGTGCAAACATGTTTATTCAGGGGTGCATTTTTACAAATAATCTGTTTGATGGATTTTGGGGGGCTTCGACACGTTTCGTGAGCAATGAACTTGTAATCGAGTTAACACTTCATACGTTCATCGAAAATTCGATTAAATAAGTGCAAATAAATTAATTTTAAAAAATCGGTAACACTTCTACATACTACTCGATCTACAGTGAGTTGCAATATTATGAAATAATCTTATTAAAACTGAAAATGTTTTGTTTTGGCAAAAATTCGATTAAATAAGTGCAAATAAATTAATTTTAAAAAATCGGTAACACTTCTACATACTACTCGATCTACAGTGAGTTGCAATATTATGAAATAATCTTATTAAAACTGAAAATGTTTTGTTTTGGCAAAAATGCTCGAACATAAAAAAATACATAATTTTTAACTTGATTTAAAATTTTACACTTTTTGATTTTTGAGTAATTACTTCATCGACATTTTTTTCAAATGGAAACCACTAATTTTTTTAGCCAATTAGATAGATATTTTAATTGTCGGATTGACAACGCCAAAATATTAAATATGTACACACATAATACATTATGTACTTATTCCCTGATTCAAAATTAAATTTTAAAATATCGAGAATCAAAGAACGATATTTTTCGATTCATGAAACTTTCAAAATTCGAATATGAATCAAGGAATAGTTGCTTTGTGTATTATAGGTTGTTTGCCAAGAGGAGTCTAATGGGTCATTTAAGCTGAATCACCCTGTATTACATAATCAATTTTTGAAAAAAAATATCCAAAAACTGAATAATGTCAACAAAAAACAAACATACAATTTTAATTTAAATCATTGAAAAATTTAAAAATTGAGAATTTTTAAAGAAAATTGACCTGTTCATGCATTTTTGTCAAAACAAAATATTTTCAGTTTTAATAAGATTATTCCTTAATTTTGCCGCTCACTGTGTTTCTGATCCAATTAAATAATTATAAAAAAATCTAACATAGTTTAAGAATTTACTTCAGTTTTTTTTTAAGATTTGAATGAAGTGTTAATTAACATTTTGATGGCCTTTTTAAGAAAAAAATCCATTAGATAGGTTTTGTTTTCACCATTGGAATGTATATGATAGCTTTGTATAGAATATAAAAAAAATGTTAACATATTGTGTAAACTGATGATAATATTGTACCGTTTTGTATGCTTGTGAAAGTAATTAGCAATTATAAAATAATTGGAAGTACAGATCTCTAATTTCAATAAATAGGCAAAAAAATCATAAATGAATGAATATATTTTTTATTTATTACAAAATATCATGGGAAACTTGGTTTCTAATGTTAAAATTTAATTATTATTTAATTATCAGTTTGGTAACGCAAAGTTGAACAGACATAATCATACTTAATGATTTTGATTCGACTATAATTGATGATAATATAGGAACAAATATTTGTTACGTAATATTTTGAGGAAAGCTTATTTTTTGATTTTGTTGAAGCATTGGGATGATACCTAATAGAGGAGTACTGGATGCAGCAACTCTTGCTTCCAGGTCAAAAATTAATTAAACAAATATTACAAGAATTTAATGTCAGTTACTCATTTTTTTTGCAATGTATCTGGGAGACGTAGTTTTTATGAATTTTCCGGTACTTTACCTAACAAAATACATGCTCTAGAGGGTTTATCGAGGGATTTATTAAATAATATTCCAACCAAAGGAATAATTTATGGTAACATCCATCAACGAAAGAATTATTTACTTCACTTACGTAAACAATATAAACTATCATTCACGTAAACAATTATTGGAAGAATTAAAACATTATGTGTTTATCAATATCCAAAAATACTCCAATTTTTTTTATTTGAAGTTTGGTCGCATTGAAATTCACTCCCATAAAATTCAATTTTTATCTCATTTGTTCATTTAAATTTTCGCACAATGACAAACGTTGTTATTGTTTCCAATAAAATCCATTGCAAGTGCAATTTCGATTTAGTCAACGTTCTTTGTGTGTAAACTTTTACTGCGCGTTTGGGTGGTTATGTTCAAACGAGGCGTGAAATTTGTCGTTGAAAGAAAGTTGCAACATTTTTTTTATTCGCTACAAAATTAGAAACCGAAGGTCCTTTCAGTAACAAACTAAAACACGTCCGTTCCACAATTAGTCAATGACAATGTGTCTATAACCGATATGGAATAAGTAGACACCGGTCGCATCTCAATCGCTATTCAAGTCGAACAATGAAGTTTCATAGTCCAACCGGATTAATCTCTGTATAATTTACAGAAGCAGGCATGCTTTCAGATTGCGTCACGTACGAGCTTTTCTTCGTGTTAGATTGTCGGGTAATTAGAGACCTTGAGTTTGGGTGAATTTTATATAAATGTGAAAAATGTAGGAACGAATACGAATAGAAACTTTAGATGAATATATAGGCACTCAAAGTAATGTGAGACTGGAGTGGCAATCAAGTGTATGATATTGAAACCCTCGTCGGTCTCCCCTTGTGGCGTATAATGACTGAAGGAATTCATCATCACCAAGGGGAATTTAAATTAAAAGAGTTGGTTCTTCTCGCAACTGAAAGCGGCTCTAATTTAAAGATAATCAAGTGTTAAATTAGTAAGATATGTGTTTTGTCATTAAATTCGCGAGTAAAAGTTGTCTAGTTTCAAATATATTCGTATTATGAAACTTTCACTTGGTTTTGTGTAGTGGCATAGTAAAAGCCTACGTATTCATCCAATTGTCGTTAATTTATTTAACTCTCGTAAGAGGATTATCTCTTTAATTCTAGACAGAAACGCTACATTGTTACGGTGTGATAGATGATAAAAGAGACGTTTTGTTTGTAACACATGCAGGAATTTCAATGATATATCGTGGCGTTGTTTCACGTAAATACTCGTATGATAATGAAATAAAAGCCTTTGATGTTATCGTAATGGTATAATATTGTTCTTGAAGATGCATCATCAATTCGCAATGCGTGCTTGCATAATTGTCCCTTTTTAAACAAGTGGTCAAGTTTACGTGTTTGACTCACTCATTAGTTATGTTTAATTTTGTTTGTTTTAATTAATTAAAATTGAACGCGTGTTGAAATTGCGCGATACAAATATTTTTATAGACGAGAAAGTTAGAGAGTTGGTCGAACTTTTGATTCTTTTTATGTATATGTTTACAATGTCATACGTCACGATAACTAATATTTTATGGCACTTAATGATTGATGCGGTTTTAAAAATAAAAGTGCATAATAACAGATGAATGTTCGTTCCCTCAAACATCGTAAAATTTTATGAGTTTGTGACAACGAAATCATGATAAAATCGAGGAAAACTGGTTCGTAAATTTTAAATCGAAGATAAGGAAAGATAAAGATTCCTAAATCACGAAACTGCGTTCTTACAGAATGAATCAGAACTATTATAGCGACCCTAAAACTGAAAATGTTGATGGGTATTTGTTTCTAACGAGAATTTCAATCTAAGCTCGCAATAAAATATTTTCACCGCAGCAGATGTGTGATGTGTTATGGCATTTCAGAAGTTTAATATGACTTTTAGCACAGCAGTTGCAGGGAAGAATTGAATAAATTCTTTGTATATTTAGTGAAGAAAGAGACTGTTTTGTGATACATATCTAGATAGATTTTTAAATTATAGGTGGTGTTTATAGATTAGAATTTTGTTTGGATATTATAAATTAAAAACAAATCAAAAAAATGTTTTTTATCATAAAGTTTTCGCACAGAAAATTGTGTAACAAATTTCAAGTTTATGAAACTAGTTTTTTAATATATTTCACAAAGAACTTTAAAAAATATTTAAACCAACTTTAAAGTATAGCATAAAGAGGTCATCATAAGATCAGGGCGGTGTGTTCTTAATTACAAACGAACTCACAATATACGGAGAGCACCTGAGCCTAGAGGGCCATCAGATTTGTTTCCAGTCTACACAAATAAAAAAATAGCCAAAGGGTTCCTAATTAAATAATATACAATTTTTATTTAACTGGAGACCACCACATTGCTAGATTTTGTTGTGTTATCTCATCTTTCATAATTTCTACTCGTATGCTAGACATTTTTATTTCACCTCTCACGACTGAGCTGAAACAAATTCAAATCTCTACTAAAATGTGCATTTAAATGTAGGTTTATTCTCGTCTCGTTCAACTTTCATGAATGGAAATCTTCCTAGTGTGTGATATGATTCATACATTTCTTAAAAATTTGCAATAGAAAGTGTTACTTTTGGAGGTTACCGTCTCAACAATCGTGAAAACGTGAGAAATCGACACTTAGTGAACTATTCAATTCGATTTTCATCAAAATTCGAGTTACACAATTTCGTTAAGCCATTACATAAATCTCTAAAGATGGGTGTATTTAAAAGTGATCTTCGTGGCTACGACCGACATGAAACCCGCATACACTTACATTGTTTTCATCGCAAAGAACCGTTGCATATGTAATGGTTACTCTTCCATTAATACGCTTTGTTCACAACATAATCATCCTTTTGAATCGCTTAAAATTGGACGTTGTAAAATTCTCATTCATAAAGAAATAGAGCAGACTTCAGAGTCGTTATGATAGGGGAACTCGTGCAAGTAGCTAAACGGGGTTAAATACCACTCTAATCTTTCATGTAAGCAAATCCAGTCTGGTCAAGGCTTATCACGTTTCGTTTAAAAGCG